TTGGTGGCCCTGTATGAAGAGGTATGTTGCATGGGTAGTAGAGAGGTGATTGACCTGTCGTCGGGTTAAGGCCGAGCACCAACGTCTGCATGGAAAATTACAGCCACTGGAGGTTCCCCAGTGGAAGTGGGAACAAATTTCTATGGATTTTATCACCAAATTGCCGAGGACCGCGAGAGGTGTTGATGCAATTTAGGTGATTGTGGATCGGCTAACGAAGAGCGCTCACTTCCCTGCTATCAGTGAGAGCTCTTCTGCAGAGAGGCTGGCAGAGATATATGTGAGGGAGGTGGTGTTGCGGCATGGAGTGCCGATCTCGATTGTGTCAGACCGAGATGTACGTTTCACTTCCAGGTTCTGGAAGAAGTTCCATGAGGAATTGGGTACGAGATTGCACTTCAGTACTGCTTACCACCCACAGACGGATGGACAGAGTGAGTGGACGATACAGACACTCGAGGACATGCTTCGAGCATGTGTTATGGACTTCGGTGGAAGTTGGGATACATACCTACCTTTGGCTGCGTTTTCCTACAACAACAGCCACCATTCGAGTATTGGTATGCCTCCCTTTGAGCTTTTATATGGGAGGAGGTTTCAGACTCCCATCTGTTGGGGAGAGGTAGGGCAGCGAGTGATGGGTAGCACTGAGATAGTGCTTAAGACGACTGAGCAGATACAGCAGGTCAGACAGAGGTTGCTGACAGCCCAGAGCCGCCAGAAGAGCTATGCAGATAGACGGCGGTCCGAGCTCGAGTTCCAGGTTGGAGACCTTGTTCTCCTGAAGGTATCTCCTTGGAAGGGAGTGATTCGATTCAGGAAAAGGGGTAAGTTGGGGCCCCGATACATTGGTCCTTTCAGGGTGACCGCGAGAGTGGGCAAGGTAGCATACCGTTTGGAGCTACCTGAGGAGTTGAGTCAGATCCATAACACCTTCCATGTATCCCAGTTGAGGAAGTGTGTGGTCGATGAGACGGCAGTGGTATCACTAGAGGATATTCAGGTGGATGCGAGCCTGAATTAAATTGAGAAGCCGATCGTGATCTTGGATCAGAAGATCAAGTTTCTGAGGAACAAAGAGGTGCCCCTGGTTCAGGTCCAGTGGCAACATCGGAGAGGGTCCGAGCTGACTTGGGAGCCAAAGTCAGAGATGCGGGAGCAGCATCCAGAGTTGTTTGCTGAGTAAGACTTCGAGGGCGAAGTCTGATTCTAGTGGGGGAGAGTTGTAACATCCGGATTCCAGGTATCATAATTTAAGTATTTCTTTTAAGTTAAGAAGAGGGACTCGACGAGTTGACGCCTAAACTCGTCGAGTATGATCGCGATTGATGACTCGGATTAATGAATGGACTCGACGAGTCGGTGAGGCGACTCGACGAGTCCGCGCTGTTGGCAGAAACCCTAAATTTTTGGGCCTGAGCCCTATTTAAAGGCCTTTATGGCCTTCATTTGCGGCCACACATACCCTGGAGAAACCCTAATCGAACCAGAGAGCATAGAGAGAGAGAGAGAGCTAATTTCATCACTTTTGTGCATTCTTGCAAGGGAGGAGAAGGGGGATTCAATCTAGGCTGACTTGAGGGACTCGGATCTGCTATCATTTCTTCAAAGGTTGCTGTTTAAGGTATGATTTCAAGATCATTCTCGTTTGTTTAGTAGATCTCATGAATCTAGGGTTTCTTTGCCCCTCTTTAGTTGAAATATGGAGCTGTGGAGTCCCTTTTTGTGGCTTAGACATTAGATCTGGACCTTGAGAGGTCCAGAGAGTCCCAACAACCTAGCTTTATGTAGTCACATAAGAGTATTAAGCCTAAGACACCATTATAAGGGTTATTTTAGCAAATAGAGTTAGATATGTGATGCATGGACATAAAGATTGAAGCTTTACATGACTTTTGAGTGCTAGGAGGCCAGATCTATAAGTTAGAGAAGCAGATCTGGCCTCAGAAGGCCAAATGAGTATTGTCATGGAGGAAACTCGTCGAGTTCATGAGAGGACTCGACGAGTTGGATCGGGTTGCCCCGCGATTCGTGACCAGTGGTAACCCGTCGAGTGAAAGGTTAACTCGACGAGTCGAGTGAGGCCTTAGGAGGATTCAGAGGACATGCATGGACTCGCCGAGTCACCCGAGTGCACTCGACGAGTCTGGTCAAAGTTGGACCGTTGACTTGAGTTGACTTTCGCTGACTTTTAGGGATTGGTCAACATGTGGACATTTGGACCATTGGAGGGGTAAATTGGTCTTTTCCCCTTCTGCGAGATTATAGGAAGGGATTAGTCCAGCTTCTTGAGGGCTAATATTAATTAGGAATAATTATTATGTGTTAGGCAGGAGCTAGACCCGAGAGTAGAGATCACGATCCCGATTACGAGATTTTCATTCACTAGTTTACGAGGTGAGTCTTCTCACTATACTTACCTAGTGTGGTAAACCTTATGTGTGACCAGAGGGTCTTATGTGTATGAACTGTGTAATGAGATATCCTGCTATTTACTTGTGTTATGTTTTATGAGTATTATATTGTGATGCTGAGTTGAGGGACCGGAGGGTCCATATGAGCTGTGGGACCAGAGGGTCCCACTGAGACACATCGACTAGAGGGTCTTATTGAGTTATAGCCTCGAGTGGCTAATGTGTTGTGTGTGGTATTTTGGGGAACTCACTAAGCTTTTATGCTTACCGTGTTATGTGTTATGTGTTTCAGGTAGTTCCGAGGATCGCGGCAAGGCACCGACATGATTGTACACACCGGCAGAAGATTGTTTTTATGATTTTGGGATTGTGTTTCCTTTTGTTGACATTTGAGAAATAAGTGTTTTGAGAATTATGATACAAGTTTTATTGTGTTAAAAATGAAAATTTTGGTTGAAAAATTACGTTGTTACAGATAGGGTGGAGTTGAAGGTATAAGTGGTGGTGGATGCCTCTTCAAGAAGAGGATTGTGGTAGAAATAGGTAATGAGTTTTAGGATTAAGGTTAAATTGTGTATTTATTTTAATTAATAAAAATTGTTGCTAAAACTATATTAAAATTTAATTAATAAAATCATTCAATCAAAGTTGTAATAGTGATTTTAGACCAATTTAAAAAAGAAAAAAATCAAAACACAAGAATTAACAATGATAAAAAAAAAATGGATAATGAAGAGTATAACGTACTTTAGCTTTTGGTCACTAAATTATTTTGTTTGCTTTATTAACCCTTGAAATAGTGAGTTTTGTTGGTTTCGGCCCGTCCAAACATAAGTTTTCCGGCCAAGTATAATTTTCCGGTAAAACTCGACTTTCCGGCGAGACCTTTACTGGAAATGTTAAAAACCCAAAATTAGATGAGCACAAGAATCAGATGAACTTGAAATCAAACTCGAAAAACCTAGGGTTTCGTCTTCATCGAAATCTGGAGGAAATCCATTGAAAAAAAATAATTTTCTTATCTGACGAGTATATCTAAAGATTTGGGCAAGTCAGGTGTTTCTGCAATAGCCATCGTTGCGACCTTCTTCACAGGAACAATCAAACAAGTGTTTCAGCTGTAGCTGCCACAAATTTACAGTTTACAGAGACGATGAAACAAGTGTTTTAGTCGCGAAACATACGTCTCCATCGCAACGTCATACGTTCAACACAAAGGTAGCTTTTGCGTTCTTCTCTTTCTTCAACTTTACTTTTTGTTTTTGAAGTTTTATTTGTTCGACTGTCATACAAAATCGACACCTTAATAGCCAAATTAGACGCCAATGGGAACAGATCCATCGAATTTGAAGAACTATTGAATGCCATTTTTCCTGATTCCGATGAAGAGATTTTCATCGACCAAGACTAACTCATGAAAGCCTTTCGATTGTTCGATAAAGATGGCAATGGGTCCATTACTCCTATCAAACTTGCAAGCCAGATGGCGAAATTGGGCCAACCATTGACTTATCGGGAACTTAATGACCTGATGAATGATATTGACACCGACGACGATGGTAGCATCAGTTTTCATGAATTTAAATACAACGGTGTTTGGGATGCCGGCGTCTGAATTCTTTGAAATAATAACTCTTTAAAGATGGTGATGGCCTTTTTTGTGATCATCCATATGGAGTTCCAAATCATATATGATTGTTCTTGAGCATTAACGATGAATATGTATGAATTTACAGTTTCTAAATCCATTTGACATAAAACGAATCAGTTGTAAGGAATTTAGTTTATTTTTAGGAAATTGCGAGTCAATCCATTCGACATAAGTCAGTTTTCCCTTGTTCGTCTTACAAATGGAATCGGATCTACGTTTCTCTTATAAGGCTTGAATCCTTTGAAAAAAATATTGGGATAATCATACTTTATTGATTGTGCTTGTGACGAATCAATTTAATCAAGATGCAAAGAAGGTTTAAATATGTGCTCATCTAATTTTGAGTTTTTAACGTTTTCAATAAAAAAGAGGTCTCGCCAGAAAATCGAGTTTGACCGGAGAATCATACTTGGTCGGAAAACTGACAAAATCCATTATTACCGGTCATACTGGTATATTGTATACATTTCTAAAAATTCAATGGTTAATTATAAAGCAAGAAAAATAATTTAATAACTAAATATAACCAAAAGTTAAAATGCTTTATCATCTCAAGTCGTTATCCCAAAATAAAATCATAAGAATCTAACTGCAAACACGTACAAACTATCATGAAGTGTTGCCACCAGGTCTGTTTTGACAAACTATAATTTTGTCTAAAAAATGGACCAAAACTCTAAAATATATATTGGACCAAATTCACTTTACTGTAGAATATATCTCAAATTTGACCCAAACCAAAAAAACAAAACTGTATATAAACGTAAGTCAAAAGCACTACAGCCCTGCAATCTGGGTCAGGTTTGGGTTAAACGTCTGACCCAACTCAATAATTTGGTTTCAGTTATATATAGTTAAAATAAAAAGGCCTATACGAGAAAAAAACGTACATTACGTCGATTATGGCCTAGATTCCAGAAAACACATAACCATTTTTATAACAAGGCGTTGCTAGAAGAAGGAAAACAGCCAGTAAATAATAGCGACTTCATCTCTTCTTGTTCTGCAAAATCACCACCATAACCACCTTCTATGGCTTCATGACCGCCATAATCAACACAAGTGCTAGAACACGAAGATGGCGACTGCCTGTAAGTAGTACTTGATGTCGAAGAATTATTCCCAATTGTCTTCCTCTTCTTGTAATTCGCTTTAAAGCAAGCTTGTCTTAATCTTTTCGTGTTGTCTTCAAGTTGTAAATCCGGGATTTCTTCCATTTTCTTTCTTTCGTTCTCCAGTCGCATGATAGCTTCTTGTAGCTTCTCTTCGACTGCATTCCCTGATGATTTCTCCAATTCCTGCTTCACGAATCCAATTGGTGAACAAGATTAGTGACAAGGATCGATGACTACTAACACCCTTTAATTGGATTAAACATTTGTAGATAATAATCTTGCAATCTTTGAATAAACTGGAGTCTAATTACCTGAACATTATTGATTAGAGTTTGAAGGCTCATAAGTTTGCGATGAGGCCAACGACGAATGCCCAATTCCCTACACCGTTTCTTCAAAAGCGTTAATCCGACATTAAGTTCTTTTGCAGCTTGTGTTATCGGCATGTAAAAGAACTGTGAAATCGTCTCCCTGCTTAACGCCATTCTGGACGGATAATTAAAATCACAACCACCATTGCCATTATCACCTTTGTGATCAAGCTTTTTCTGCGGTTTCTCATACCCAGAAATTACCATCTTTGTCTCCTCTTTATCGTCAATGTTCATGGCCGCCATGATCGCTGGTTGAGTTTGAGTTTGATGAGAAAACCCTAATGTGTTCGTTATGTGCATTTCTTGATTTGGAAAACCTAATGAGTTCATCAACGGTATTTCTTGATTTGGAAAACTTAACGAGTTCATCGTGGACATTTCTTGATCTGGAAACCCTAAAACATCATCTCTTCCAACCAAGAAACCATTTTCATAGAGCGTAGGATCTACACATGTAAAACATATAAGATCACGAAAGAACGAAAACCCTAGTCTGGATTACATGCATGATCAAACTAGAAACTTGAATCACCTGGTAGGATTTCCATGGAAGAACAGATTGGATTCTTTGAAATGATATCCATCAAATAAGTAGGATCAAGATCATAATTACTGCATCCTGATTCTGGATACCTACATCAATCCAATTTTAACATGAATTGAAACCTATGTTCTTCATTTCTGATCCCATTACGAAATGTTCATGAAAACATGATTAAAAACAAAAAATTAATTAAGTCTTGATTACGTACCTAAAATCAAGAGGAGGCAATTGGTGTTGAAAGGAGAAAACTTCGTCTTCTTTGGGAATGATTTCATGGTTTGACCACTCTATTATTTCCAAAGGATTTTTACTTCCCATGACTAGATTTGACTTATACATGAGATGCTAGAACACACTTGGAGGATTACGGGGTTTTGATATTATTTGTTTCTGAATGGATATATAGGAAGTGGAGAAGCCTAAGGTGATTGTACATTTGTAATTAAGTAATTAGTGGTTCGTTAATGTTAATTTGGTGTTAAATGCTTATTCCTTGACGTTAATGTGAAAGTAGTTAATCATGTAATTATTGTTGTGAAGATCATGCGCCGTTCTATATTAAAAGTTTGGAGATGAGTTTCCGTGTCATAAGAAAAAAAAAAAAAAAACTCATTTTTCTCTAGAAGTCCATTTTGTGACAGAATAAGTCGTCGCATAAGTGTACAGTAGAAACTCAAAGACTGATTCAACCACTTTTTATTTAACCATTTGTAGATAACTTATACATGATTCGAACTTGAGAATTGTAATATATATAAGTTGTAGGTCTTACAGATTAAATCAACCACTTTTTATACATCTTATTATAGTTGAGCTTAATAGTGAGGGTCTGATGGGTGAAAGAGTAATTTTGTATGTGAGGGAAATTAGTGGTGGTGGTGGTGGGCATTAATTACATCATCATGATCAAGAATTTAATTACTAGCAAATACTATAAGTTACATTTTTTATCGCTTTGGGGCTTAAAGATTGATTTGATACCACGAGCCCTGCATAGTTTCTTTCTGTGCAGTGGTTAATAAAAGTGCTGCTGTTTCCAAAAAAAAAAAATTGATACCACGAATTAAATTTTTTTTTTTTTTATATAAATCTGTTAGCTCTCGAATCTCGATATTTCATAAGTTCACTAGATTAATTGGAACTTTGCATTATTGTCTTAGTATAGTTAGAATTTAGAAATTTGAGAAATGCGATGATAAAAAGCAAAAAATGGGTGGCATTGTGGGCTTCATATATAACAAGTCAAAGTGGGCTGTGTAACAAAAACATTTTGTATAGGACAAAATGGGTAACGTTCTCTTACTAAGATTTTTTTTCTTTTTATTAAAAAATATATTTTGATGACTTTTTTACTTGTTTACTTTTTAATTATATTTTTAGATTTTTAACATTAACCAGTTATTAAAAAACATGATTATAAATTGATTTGTTTGTTTATGAAAAGATTGTTTGATTTCAACAATAAAGGATGATTAAAACTTCTTAAATTTGAAATACAATCCCGTTTGTAGTCATAGTTTTTTAATTATAATAATTATTGTTTGATGTTGCTATTTTAAACTTTACATTTTTTTAAGATTGAATTGGTAAATTATAATCAAACCTCCCAGTGGCGGAGACAATAGGGGGGCATCCCCCCCTCCAAAGTTCAAATCTCATATTCAATAAGAAGGTTAGTTTAATTCTAATTATATATCGTATTTAGTTGTTTATTTTTTTGTAATCTGTTTTTAATAATTTTATTAGAATTGGTAATTTAATTTCTTACAGCTATAGGATAAATCATGAGAAAAAAAAATCATGGATTTTTTTTCAATGAAAAAAATGTTCATGAACCACAATTATATTGATAAAATTAAGAATAATGTTCATAATACATGCCTAGATAGTTAAGGAGTCAATCATAGGCTAAATCATAAGCCCCCGTTAGTCTAAAATTCTGGTTCCGCCCCCTGAAGCCTCCACGTGTAGATCATATGGTGTTAGGGTGCCAAATTGACACTTTGGATTAATTTAATTTCATGGTGATTAACGGTTCTATCTACTAATGTTCAATATAATCCAATTTAGTCATCTAATTCAATCTTATCAAAGGGTGTGGCACTCGTCGTCCTTGTCACTAATCTTGTGAACTAAATGGATTTGGAAGCATGATTAGGGAATTCATCTGGGAATAGAACCGAAAGAGAAGCTACAAGAAGTGATCGTGCTATTGGAGAAAGAAAGGAAGAAGATGGAAGAAATCATGGATTTACATACATGGAATTATTTAAACATACATGCTTCAAAGTCAAAGCGAAGTAAAAGAAGTGGAATACAATTGGGATGCAACCATCAACGAATTCAAGTACAATATATATATATATATATATATATATATATATATATATCTATATATATCTATATATATATATATATATATATATATAGCTAGGTTCATGTGTTTAAATTAATTATTGTGTTATTGTATGCTTAAATGTCGACCAATCAAAATTAAATAAAAAATTAAATAATTAAATAAATAAATAAGGGTAATTTAGTAATTTGTTTAGTAACTTCCAAAAATAATCCCTATAATCATGGTATTGACTTTTAACGTAATCTCTCCTCTCCTGTTTAAATGTCGTTCCCCTCTTTATCTAAAAACCAAATCTTGGCGGCCGATCTGCAAAATTGGAATAGACAAAATCGATCGTTCTACAAAAATCGATTCCCATCGCCATAAAATCGAGCATAGGAACAGAAGAGAGAATGAAACTCGCTAGAACGTTCATCGGAGATGGCCTCGCCGGCGGAAGAGCAGCAAAATCGGGTTATATCCGGCACCACCATCAATCGCGGTGGGGACTTCTCTTCTCGTATTTGGGTTATATCTAGCCAGCTCCACCACCTACATCCGACACGACCATCGATCTTCACGTCTACTGTCACTCTTCCCATTTCTATGAAATACAAACAATCAACATCAAATCCAGCAAGATCAGCTTTCGCATCTTAAATGGATTCACAGCTCAAAGACTTATCTTCAAAACCCTAATCTCCCACTTCTCAACCCAATCTCGAAGGCGCTTCCGATAATGACGATCTCCCCCTCAAAAGTGGCTCTCTATTGGTCTGGAAGGATTCTTTCTAGGATTATGCTTTTCGCATTCAAATTTTATTGGATTCAGGAGACTTGCATGAATCCACAAATCAATGGAAGTATCAACAATGAGGCAGCTTAATTTCTGGTGTATATAATAGTATGCAGTAAAACATGTGCTTCCAGTTTGCTATCTTTGTTAATTGCTTCTTAAGGTAATTTAGGGATATGCAAATTGAGTCATAGAAGTCCCTCTCAAAAGTGGCTCCTCGAGTTCATGATTTCAATCTTTCGTTGCTGTATTAGGAACATCATTAGCAAGGGCACTTTATGTGTCGAGATTCTTTATTGTGTGTGCTTACTGACAGTATCCAACAATTATAGTTTAAACATGATATGATTATTACTTTTGTAAAACCAGTAGTATTTGTAGTTCAAACCAGCATTTGGTTAACTTGATTACTTTCAATGGTCAGGTGGACTTGAATGAGCAATCTAAGGAGAAATTACTTTCACTAGTGGCAGAGAGGGTATTCTATTCAAACAACAATGTTAATGTAATCTTCTTCTTCTTATTCTTTTCTTTTTTATCACATTATTAGCCTTTAACATCCCATCAACCACATAATTGATTCTTTTTAATTGAGGTACAGAATAAAGATGCAGGGTATGTTGAAAATCAACAGCAAAATATAGCTGATGCCATTGATTTACTTCCCCGATTAACAACTAACATTGATTCTATTGGAATGGAATCACGAATTCCAATTCTGTTGGAATGAAATTACGAATTCCAATTCTGTTGGAATCACAGAAGTTGATGCTTGAAGAACGGACCACAAAATTGAAAGTGATTCTAAGCAACATTATTCTTTTAGAATGTATTAGTGTCATTGTGAGATTTTGATGTTTTATTTCCCGTTTTGAAAGTTTTTTTTAGTTTTATTCTTTAACAATAAATGTAATTCTTAACAGTTGTTACCCGTATTCTATAAGAAATAATGTATTTTTTGTTTTTATTCTTCAATTGATTGTTCAAGAATTTGTTATTGTACAAGAAGTTTTTAAAGTCATGATCAAGAAAATAGGTTCAAGAATATTTTTATTATTTATGGTTCAAGAATATTTTTATTTTTGATTATACTCATAAACATATTCTGTCAGAATGCCCGAATTAAAAGAATTATAATTCATAAAATCGGATTTTTAAATTAATAGAATCTATGATCCCTTAAAAATGCAATTTTCCTTTATTAAATCTATATTAATTGACTAAAGTACCCTTGTAATTAATTAAGATGATATTTTTCAATTATATTTAATTCAATAGTATATATTAATCACTTTCTTAAAATAAGTAAATTTGATTGGCCCACATTTATGCATACAATAACACAATAATTACTTTAAAACAAAATAACATAAGCCTATATCTATATATATATATATATATATATATATATATATATATCTATATATATATATATATATATATATATAGGGTCCGGTTCCTATTAGGACTCATTTTAAAGTGAGGACACCTTAAATAATCTAAAAAAAATACAAATCATAAAATCGAGCATAGATCTATGTCCGGAAGAAAAAAAATTGGATTTTTTTTTGCATCATTAAAATTGATCCATGATTCAATTTTAATTTTTTATTTTGCATCGTTATGATCCATCATTCACTTTTAATGATCCAATTTTTTTTTCTCCCGGACATAGATCTATGCTTGACTTTATGATTTGTATTTTTTTAGATTTTTTTTCAATTTTTTAAGGTGTCCTCATGAGTCCTCACCCGATCCTGTTTATATATATATATATATATATATATATATATATATACACACACACACACACACACATATTTGTATTTAGTTAGCCCGCTTATGTGTTAGGCCCTTTGGTCCAATTCGTCCATGCCATTGAAATTGTATATATTGGTTGTACACTCTCATTCCTAAAATCCTCTTTTTACTTCCAACGTCATTCTCACCAACCGGGTGCCACTTATCTATGTTGCTGCCTCCTTCCACCATGACGGATGCATCACTTCATGTTCAACCCATCAAAGTCTTTGGAATCGAAAACATCAAGGCTCATATTCCGCTTCTTCTTGATCTTGACCAGCTTAGTTATGGTGTGATGAAAGATATTCTCTGTTATTTTGCAATGAAAATATAACACAATATAATCAGAGTCGGTATGTAAAGACGCATATCTATATATTT